AACAAAGGAGGAGGCTACAATGCTTGATAAGAAATGTACTCATTATCTTGCCCATGTAATTGTAACCCCTCTGTACAGTATTTTCACAATAAAAAAATTTAATAGTTATTTTAAAAGAGATTTTCAGGTAAATTACTAAATGTTTTCAATCATATTTGCCACTTAATTCTGCTTCCTTTTAATGAAGTTGAGAGTTGAATTGGAATAAAGTGGATTCTGTTCCAGAACATAAATAGTGCAATTAATAATAATAATAATCAGGAAAGAGATCTATATAAGTAAGACAGTAGCTGAAAAGGCTTTCATATTCTAAACTTCAGGGACCACCAACAATCACTGAATTTAATGTCGTTTTGATGGTTTCCAAAATGGCACTATTTTAGATGCAGTGGCAGCCTGTCCATTTGAACTTAAATTGCCTGGAATAAGCAGAAGCACAAGGGGCCTCCCCAACAGAAGACAAGGCTGCCATCTCATGGTAGAAAAAGGTCTAAATTGTGTGGAAAACACTCCAACCCAGAAAAGGAGGGAAGTCTGTCCACTTGCAGAAAGAGGAGAGGGAATGTGGATGTGGGAGGGGAGCTTTTGAGTCTGACCTATTTTTGGACTCTGAAGCTTAGTCTACGGCTGGAAGCAGCAGGAAGGAGGGCTGATCCCCCCCTCGCACAGCCCCAGAGCTGCAGGCAGGAACCAACCACACGAGGGACACTGTGCTGCTTCCTCTGAAGAGAAAGTATACCAGACTCTTCCTTTGATAGGATTTGCTTCTAAATGAGTGAAAAAGGATGGAAAAATGTGTTTACATTGTCCAGAGATAAACAAATGCGAGTCATTCCGGGAGTTCTGTAGCAAAGTTAGCCAGTAGCAACTCTGTAAGCTTCAAGGGGCACCTGTGCTTTCAGCTATGGGAGATAAAACTTCCAAGGATTTAGCAGGGAAAAGTTACCTTTGCAAACTAGGAGGATTAAATCCACTGCCCTTTGTACAGATAATTGCTCTTGATTGTAGATTTTCCCAATGTCTCTAATCCTGCCCCCAAAGGAAAGTGGCAATTTGCACTAAGTCTCTATATTAAGTCCCAGGGATAGGGAGATAGGGGTGCTCCTTCTAGTTATTTACAAGTCAAAAGAGATGAAGCCTTAGGCATTGAGAGGTGCTCTACGTGGGAGAATCGGGAGTGAGTGGATGTCTGTCTAGTTTTTGAAGAGGGCAAGGTGATGTTTGCCTGTAATTCTAACATTTGGAGCATGAAGGAGGTTTTGAATTTGAGGCCAGCCTGGGCTCCATAGTGAGACACTGTCCACAATGAAACAAAATAGAATCCAAGCAAACATAAAACTAAGACACAGGTGTGATCTGTTTTCTTGGAGACCCTCCTCCTTCTGCTTTCTAAGCAGAGCACTGTACTTCTTTCTCTTAGCTCTTCAGAGGAGAGGCTGGTTTCCAGAGCAGAGCCGTCAATGTGACTCTCAGTGCCTTGCCTCAAGGTCTTGATCAGCAAGAGGTGTAACAGACTTAGTTACTGTAAAGTATGTGTAAAGAAATGTGTCATTGGTCACAATTCTTCTCACAGTCACTCAGGATCAAATTTTAAAGTATGGAAAGTAGATACTCCCAGAACTTAACAACTTGGTGCCCGGAAAGAAGAAAGGAAGATGCAGTTAATTCACAAGATGATTAAGAGCCTAGGGTACAATGGACTGAGTGGATATGGGAACAGCTTGTAACTGATCTGAAGGTCAACTTTCTTGATACATTTAAACTTTATTCTTCCATAAAAGAGACATAATAGTGCTATTTCTGATTTGCATTCATCACTATAATTTTTTCAATTTTTTTTTACTGTTTTTACAGAGAGGTTGCAGTCACATAAATCACATGAGTACATTTCTTTTGGACAATGTCAGCCCTTTCCTTCCCCCCACACAAGTTATACAGTTCATTTTCTAGATTTTTTTTTCCTTAAAGAGACACCAATTTCTTTTTCAGGAAAAACCTTTTTTTAAATGATGACTAATTGCAAATATCCTTGAGCCTGCAAAAGCCTATAGCTCCACCTCCAGGAAATACTATGAAAAAAATGTTCATACCTTTATTGACAAATGTAATGTTTGGGATTTTTCATCCCTTCTAAGTAAAACAAACTGGAGAAAGTAAATTCTACTTCCTTATTGACTCAGACCAAACTGACTTCTCCTTTCCTTCTTCCACAAGGAGGGAGAAGGGAATAAAAGCTACTCTTGAGCCTGGTACATTGCCAATCCAGAGAGATCAGGAAACAGAAGCCATGGATCCCTCCCTCCATCCTCCCCCCATAAAACAAAAAACACGTTTCTACTCTCTGCTCACATAATTTCTTCTTTCCTTTGGCCTACTGGGACATTTCTTTAAAAAATAAAAGAAAACCAAAGAGACATGGCTACCCTACTTTAAGTAAGACATGAAGTCTGAAGTTAAAGAAAGTCATAATGCCCTCAGGTTGTTAAGCACCAAAGTCCATAGAGAAATAGAAACAAATATATTTAATTACTTTGAAATCCTCAGTACAAAGATGATCTGTACTTCTTACTATCACCTCTAGTAAGAAATGCAGTAGGAATTGTTACTCCAATTAAGTCTAAAGTGTTTATAAGTACATGGGAGGAGATCTAACATCTAATGATCATTCAAAAATTTTTCACTGGACTCAAGCATTTCTTTTATACTTATGTAAAGTTATTGTCTTGGTGATAATAAAAGCCTCTAGGGAATCAATATTTGTTCTGGTATATCCAATATTATTTTATAGTTTCAGGTTAATAAATGCATATTTATTATTATATTAAGATAGTATTAGCAAACAATTGATATTTCATAATTTATATGGCTATTGCTATCAAGATTTGAATGTTAATCCAATATTGGAACTTACCAAATTGACTCCAAGTATTAAACAATTTTGCAATGGACTGTTTATCTTCACTAAGAATTTCAACTATACTTACCTCATACAGCTGATGATGGTTAAGAATTGCAATATTCAGACATAGTTTACTTCTTCCAAATTCATTGACAATACCTAGTTTATACTTGAGATTTTTTTCTCTTTCCTCTTTCTTTTTCTCCCTCCCCCACCTTTCCTTCCTTCTTTCCATTTGTTCTTTCCTCTCTTTCTTGCTTGTTTTCCTGCTTTAGTTATTTTCCAATAGGCTACTGTGGCTTTGCTTGTGGCCAGCCTCTAGTCTCATTCCTTCCATTGAACTAGGATTACAGATATGCCACACCATACCCAGCTGGTTTATTGGTTGAGATGATGCTTTGCTAACTTTTTGCCCCAATGGTCTGCTCTCTTTTTCTTTCCTGAGTATCTGGGATTGCAGGATTATACTAACATACCTAGCCTGGTAATGAATGTTTCTTGCTGTGACTGAAATAACAAAAGAAACTGTGTAAGTACAAAAAAACAGAAGAAATTAAGGACATTTACATTGTTGTTTTTAGAAGTAAAATACTTACAAACCACTCAACTATGAATATAGGAGTCTGAGGTCTAGGGCATTCTTTTATTATGCAGAAGAAAACAAACTTCAATGTTTAAGGCTCCCATTATAGAAACTTTCAGAAACCTTAAAAAAGCAGTCTGATATGGTAATATAAATAAAGTATCAATTAGAATGGGAATTAATTTTGACTTCATGAGCATCTACAATTTAAGCAATAACACATGTTGATCAATGAAAGCAAGTAATTCAGAAATCTTATGAACTTAGATAGAAGATATTAAAAAGATGTCACTGGGTACTAGTGGCTCATACCTGTAATCCTAGCTATTTAGGAGATTAAGACTAGAGGGATCATGGTTTGAGACCAGCCTAGGTAAATAAAGTCTTTGAGACTTTATGTCCAATTAACTAGCAAAACCCAGAGGAGGAGCTGTGGCCCTAGCCATGAACAAACAAGCCAAGGAAATGCAGGCCTGTGACTAGCTCCACAAAACTAAACAAAAAAGACCAAAAACAAAACCTCATGCAGCATGACTTTTCAGAGTTAAAGTTTCTCTAATTGCACAAAACTTCACAAACATGAGAGACTATATAACACATGTTGTATTAAGATATAAGCCTGTTTTACATGAATTA